TATGATATTTATGAAAACCAAGGTGTTAATGTAGTTGTTGTGGCCTGGTCCTTAGAACAGCACTAATTCGATACTGAACTTCACACTTGATTCAGGGCTGCTCCATCTCGTTGCGTCAATTGTTGTCCTCCAGGGGCGTACAACTGCCCATCGCAGACGATACGGATTAATCTTTCGGTACCTTAGAACTGCCTCTAGCACACGATCACTCGCACCTATAACCTCGTGTTCATTTTCAGTACCCTGCCGCTGCCAGCAATACGAGATGCCAGAACAGCGTCGATTGCCGACGAGGATCTTTCTGCCGTGGAGGCATCTGTCGATAACCACCACAAAATGCGAAAATCGAGTTATGTGGAAACTCCCGAAAATATCTGTATATTCGAATTGGATTATTTTTACTATATAAATCGTTATGCTTAACCTCGTCTCACAAGCTGGTTTTATTAGATGAAGTCAAGCAGAATCAGCGTGGCATTGATTGCCATATATTCCATCACTAGAAAGAGCTTCGAATGTGCCTGATCTCGACAGGGTTGACCAGAGGCAGCGCAATAGCAACGTGAATCGGACTCTGTTCCAACTAGCCAGAGGAATCAAGAGCCATGACATTAGAATCAAGTGGCACTTCCCATGTGAAAATGAAACATCTAGAGCGTGAAAACCAGTACTAATTGTTGCTCTCGAGTGCCTTCTTCGCAGTCATGAACATACCGTAACCTTATAAGTATAAAAAAAATCCTATGCGATTAGTTCTCCAGCGTATAGTCTCAAATACGAGCGGAGGCAGTGTAGTGGCAAGCGGCGCACCCACGCTTGCGGTCTGAGGATCAAATCTTGAATATCATCGATTAGGGTCAGTTCCTGGTATCTGACTTGTCCGGAAGGATGAAACCAACAACAAATAAAACATCAATAAAGCATGTGAGTATGACCTCGCAAGTCATATAATGTGGACCACCTCACATGCAATTATTACTACAATTCTGAATAGATCAACTTGCGTGGCGCACCCCGAAATGGATTGATCAACGTTGAATGTTTTATCTTTTTGTCCTCATGGCATTCAGCGGAGCAATTTATCTACAAGTGAAATAGGTGCGGATTAAGTTTGATTCTAGTATGAACTATGCACATCAGCATCCCACCGGAAATTATCTTCAGAAAAAATGCTTTGTTCAAGCTGAAACTGTGACCAGAAGAAATAAAATTTGACTCAAGTACTGACCCAGACATAACTTTTTTACCGTTAGCGAGTAGGTAATACTTAAATGCGTGGTCGAGTTCAACTTTTAATCAAACGCGAGGCGCATCCAAAAGAGTCCGATCGAGTCGTCCACTTCTGCCGATTCTGTTTCTCAAGACAACTGGACATCGTTACTAAATTTTCGAGCTCTCCTGGATGTTTGTGTTTGTTTTTCATAAAACTCTCACAGCAATAAGATTCTCTAGTAATAGAGGAACGTTCACTTTTCCTCCTAGGTCAAGTCACCAGGGCTGCGCGATCTTTGATGCTTGGGTTTAGGATCACGCTTAGGGTTGGGCTTACACATTAATTAATGCTCAAACCTATGATTGTGCCTAGGTTCAGTCTTAGGCTTGCTACGAGCCAACGTCTGGTATCCTAATTTTGGGTGACCTTACCTGAGGAGGAGAACTGAAGTATGCTCTAGTAATAGGAACGTTGTTCAGAGGCCCTTCGTCTTATCACTTTCCTCGATCTCCAAGAAGAGCCGAGAAAACTTGCCGATCACAAGTCGCGTGCCCCATCGAATCCCAGTTTTCCGCTATTCTTTGTAGGACAGGCATGGATATCCCGTGGAGATGCGAACTCTGCAATTTGCACCTGTCTTCGAGCGTCAACGATCAGTGATCCGGCTACGGCTATTGCCACCTCAACCCCTATCACACACCATAATCGGCTGACCTCGAATAAAAGCACCAGACACATTCCCAGCAGACTCACATTTGGGAATTCGCCCAGCTGCTTCGTTGGTGGGAATCTGCCCTCTGATCATTTTCCCATATCATTTACTTGTCACATTTGTCATTTGCAATTATCAGTTATTTTTCTTCTCGTTACGGATCACTTGAGCAAATATCACTCAAAGAGAAAGTTGGTAAGGTTCCGGAACTCATGCTGAACCAATCTATTCGATATGGTCATACAATGAGCATCAATAAATTATGCGTGTGTATAATAGCTGCAAGCTGGACTCCCTCTTAGCAAGCACCCCATGATTCAGTTAGTGCAGTACATTATGGAAATAGAACATTTACCTCCTCTTCACTATGAATGAGAGCTTTAATGGGTGGAATGGCTTCAGAACATTATCCGTGAACAAATCGGAGTACGTTCTTCCTAACAAATGGTCCGTTCTTACCTGGGTGTCATATTTCGTGGGATCAAGCCGATTTGGTGGGGATAAGTGCTAGTACCGCACATAATGCCGCTTTTACCATCAGATTTTGCCAGCTAAAGAGCGTTTGGATGTTTACTCATCATAGTTGTCCCAAAACACCTTAGGACCAAAATCGACTATTTTCGAACCTCTGGGATTATTTCGCTTGCCATTAAACATCGAAAACGACCATTTTCACATGTTTTTGGTTTCATGGACTGCTGTTTTCGGCCACACGTTACCGAACGAAAGTAAACGTAACGATGCTAGTAGCTGATAGGCAGAATAGTTCAGGAATCGAGCCTGCACCTCACACTTTTGCGAGACATCAAATACCTCAAGCGAGGTTGGATCAGATTCCCGCTCGAAGCGAAATTTTTTGCCAATACTTCGGCCTCGTTGTCACTGACTTTTCTCATTTTTTTGTTCCCAAAAAAGACTGTGCTCTGAGAAGTGCTAAGAACTGGCCCAAAATCCTTTATTGCGGATATCCTTTTGAAATCCAATTTTCAAGTTATGGAAGCTCTGAAACGGGGAGAATGAACTTTTGGTGTTCAGTATTGTTCTTGGTGTGCGCCGTGCATAGATTCAGGAGTTAGGTATCCCTGTTAGTAAGGTCGAAATTCCCCTTATTTTCCGACCCGAGAAATTCCCTACAGGTAGACTCCTCGAGATGATTCTTCCTATATTCACTACACTTACCTGTTGTTTATTTGCTCTCTTATCACTATTATCTCTAATTTTGAGATTCCAAGTGCAATCAGTTATCAAACTAACAATACAGTAAGTGTTGCAGTGTTAAGAAGAACAATCATAATATTCCAAATAAAAGTGCAGTAGTGAAATCCACGACAAAGCGTCGGCTCACAATCGCGCTACCGAACTTCATAGGCGAAATATTGCCAGATTCCCCCTCACATGCGCAGCAAAATATGTAGCTTTCAGCCTTATTAGCCTTTGCTCATCACGCAGACGGGTGAAGGTCTTCCTTTACGAAATCCATAATCCCTTCACAGAATGAACTGACAAGGGAAAGTGAAGAGGTCGGTCCCCACTTGCAGAGATTCCATCGTCACATTGCTTAGAGACGGTGAGCTCGAACTGCTTTCCATATATCTGCAATGCAATATGGTGAACCGAGTAAATGAAGTATTAGCTTATCTCGCAACTGTTACAATGCTTTCCTTGAAAGTGCCCTATTGTCGAGAATCCGTTCCACATACGGCGTCTGCCAATCATTATGGCCAGTTAAGATGTCATAACCTAGCTATTTGCCAAAAACAAAAAAACTGTGAGCAAGAGTAGACCCAGTCGATGTCAGTTGCCTCTAACTCAGACCTACTACCTACTGGCGCATCTCTGTCTTATAACTATTCCCAAAATGTTTGCAGATATGGAATCGTTCTAAAGCTAGCGCCCCCGTCCAGCGTGACTGTCATAAGGACGTTACTCCCTCTCGCCAAATACCAGACGACCTTCGCTTTTCTTAAATTATCCGCGATCATTTCATAGGCCAAATGTGATTAATGATTCCAGAAATGGACAGTTTTTCCGGCAATGGTTGCACCTATTGCGAGTATCGTGATATGTTCATCAGACACTGTAGACCCTAATGAAGAGCCTCCCTCTCTGATTCTCTATTTGGGAATTCGAGTCGAGGAATAAATTTTGTGCACGTAGAATAAGGGAATTATGTGGTGCCGGAATTCTTTTTCGAAGCACAAGCTCCCAACAACCATTGGTCGAATATAACTAAGTAAAAATGTAGATAAAGATCTCCTTTATTCCGACAAACTGAATCTTCTGCTTGTGACTTTCTTTCGCTCTGCCGTACTATGGCACCTGCTCTGTGGGTTATTATACAATAAAAATCCCCCAAAATAAAACACTTCTCCCCCCGCATTTCCAGTGATTCTATAGCATCCTTCTCTTCCTTTCCCCATGGCGATACCAGAACACGAAATTTCCAACATAGCATAGTAAACAAAGGGAAAGCCCCAACGGCATGAAATACAGGACTTGCCGCCCACGTTTCATATTTGACGAAACACTGTACATCTTCGAGTCTGTTACGTCTCTGATCAGGTAACCGATTGACGAAAACCCCGTCGCACTTCAGGCTAGTGCGAACGGTAGGCCTCCTTCAATTCGACTGTGAATAGCAGATGAGGCCATATAGTGGGGACGGTGAGGGGAGCAAAGGAGGGCCAGTTACTTCCTGGCCATGGGGGTAACATCTGAGAAAATTTTATTTGTATTCTGTAAACCTTGTAAAACCCCAATCAACAGCGGCATCCTGCGCGACGAGAAGTTTGGTTATATGCGCCATGGGCAGAGTGCTTTTCGGTCCCCACTTCACCCCCCCCCCTCTTTTTACATATTTGTTATCAGCAGTAAAAATGGAATCAAAAACTTGCCGCTTCTCAGCAATAGTTGATTTATATTTAATGTAGGTAGAAGTTGATCTCTTCCCTTTCCTAGCTATTCGTCTCTCTCGTACAACGGTACATTCTCCTTGTTAATATTATTTTGAAAAATGCCTCTCAGCATCATTCCACCTCGTCATATTTCATAGCTCGATGTGTTTTCTTTCAGACAATGGCAGCTGATTCACCGGATTCCTCATTCACATGGTCTGATTATTCGATAAGCGAGGACGATGCCTATGTTTACTGTCGACTGGGAAGCAGTCCTAGCAAAGCACGTACTGTAGAGAAAGCTGAATCACCAAAACCTACCCTTGAATCGTGGAGATCCTGTCGAGATTCGGGATTTGTTGATCACGTGCAGCTTCTCAACCGTTCGACAAATTCAGAAGCTCACTACGATGACCATGTTTATTACAATTTACTGCCCTACCAAGAAAAGGCAGACGATCATGATTACACATATCCTGCTCTCGCAACAGAGAGCAGCCAAGACGTCAGAATTCGAAGACCCAAAGGAGGGCTTAGTTTGAGATATGCCAGAAGAAAACTTCGGCGATTCGACAGCACACTGAGCACGCTTTCTGTGAGAACCGTCGTCAATGGGGGTAAGTCTCAATTCCCTTCACCCTTTCATTGCTCTCATTATTTTGTTATAGAATAGGCATCCCTCTTATTTTGATAGCTATAAAAGCTGGAATGGTAATAAAGGCAGTCAAAACAAGCATCAGGAGACTTATCGCTTCGTTTTCAGCTCGCCCTTATCAAGGGTGCCAAGAGGGACACACGACCCCCCATCTAAGGGCCACTTTCAAGAAACCAATCGCTCAAAGACGACCCTGCGTGGAATGCAGAGAGGAAGAACTGAGAAACTTCGAGAAGTCAGAAGGAATGAAGAACGAATGCGAGAGTGTTCGTAAAGCCAAAGATAACGAAGCGATCGAATTATATGGTGGGTAAAGGCGATAAAAATGTTCATACAGAAAGATATGGTGACTGAAATAATTGATTTAGCTCGTCTTATCGTCATCGCAATGGAGGAGTTGCGAGCTGAACCCGACGGAATGGAGCGGACCGCAGCCTTCCAGCGAAAGATTGAGAAAATCCTGAGACTGCGGACAGGGCTCGATTTGTCCGTGCCCGATGACGACTTCAAAAAGAGTGCACAATTGTTTGGTGAGCTCTAAATAGCGTTATTAAATTAAGACCATGGAAGTAACGCCCCCCAGAGTGACAACCCAACAAGGTCAACACAATCTGGGAAAATAGCGCAGAGGGTATTGTTCTGGTATGAGAGCTCAATTATACGTGAGAACAAGGTGGTTTCAATTGAGAACCTACGAAGATAGCTTTGTGTAAGGGAAGTGTCAACCAGGGTAAGGCATGTGTCGAGTACATTCGGCAAGATTGACTTCATCCCCGTCCTTTATGGACTCCATAAACACCCTCTTTCTCCAAACCTCTTTCTAAACCTCTTCCATCTTACGAAACAATCGACTTTCCAATAGATGTACCCGCCACAAGGGAATTCGGGGAGGGGGTATGGAAGGATCAATAAAAACTTCAAAAACTAATAAATCTTCATGAAAAATCACTGCAAACTCAATAAGTCCTGAACATTATGACACAACCTTGTTTCCCAGATGGCCAAGTACGTGTTTCTGTCGATTGACTTACCCCAGTGTTAGCAACATGGTTCACTGATCAGAGACTCCTTTGTACAAAAATTACCATCAAATCTTTTGCGGAATTTTTCATTGACCTTTCGATTCCCCCCCCCCCCTCCGGCGAAGGTAAACCTCTAGAATCTGCCGTACAGCTCGCTATGGTTTCTTGGTCACGGGTAAAAGTGTCATTACACCGAAGTTATTCGGCTCCACTTTCTTCTGATCCCCAGCACTGCACCCACGGCTAGCCCAACCTTTGAAGCGGAAAGGGGGAGGGTTATGTAAGTGTGGTCTCGCACGAATTCTCCACCCTCATGATATCAGCTTCGTTCTATCTTGAATGTTCCGGTAACTATTAAGTGAAGTTTGAGTTCGACAAAGATTACGCAAAAAGTACTGCAATTTGCTGGGCATCGGCCAAAGCCCGAAGGGTGCAGATACAGTAGCGGTCACAAAGTGTTCGCCGAAACGATTTTTAGTGCATTATTTTTTCTCGCTTGAGCAACGCCTCCAAAGATTGATATACTATGTTTTCTAGTGTTTTTATATCCTCAAGTCTTAAAGAATCAGGATATTCAAAAAAAATTTCGAGGTCACCATTGATTTTTTCTGGCAAAAAAAAAGCGAAGACGAAAAACGGTTTCGGCGAGGTGACGAAGTGATGAGGAATTGGACAATATTGCTCTTCGCTGACATTTCCATTGCGAGCTAGGGATTTCTAGCCGCATTCTGGAACACTTTCACTGTCCTCAATACTGAAGGCTGGCACTGTGCACTGGGTAGAGCAGACGTCCGCACTACCAAACCCTCCCCCGGCACAAGAAATTCTAATGAACCTTCATGCTCTTCTGATCGCTAGCAATTTATCTGGG